AAAAAAAAAAAAAAAAAAGGTTAAAAACCAAAATACGATAAATTTTTGCTTTTTCCTCCTTATTATAAATCCAAACAATACGTCCTATCAAGAAAGTTCAAAAAGGAACAGTGGCTGTTATCTTAGTCACCCTCGGAATCGCTGTCCCTTCTCATGGGGACAGAGCCTCGCACTGAGGACAGCAAGACATCTTCCACCGGCTTCCTGGGGTTCTCCTCCAGGTCTGTCTTGATTGCTCCTGACTCCGACAGTTTCCACTCCAACTCTGCCAGACAAAGAAAAAGCAAATGGCGTAAGGCACCAGGTCCCCTCAAAGGCGTCCTCACCCAAAGCCCATAAGACAATTTAAATTTTTCCTGAGAGGGTTAAAAAAAAAAGAAGAAAAGACCAGCTGGGCGGTGGTGGCGCACACCTTTAATCCCAGCACTCGGGAGGCAGAGCCAGGCAGATCTCTGTGAGTTCAAGGCCAGCCTGGGCTACCGAGTGAGATCCAGGACAGGCTCCAAAGCTACACAGAGAAACCCTGTCTCAAAAAAAGAAAAAAAAAAAAGACCATCAAAATTTGGTGACCATTTTAGTGCCGTCTGAAAGAAGAGAAAGGAGGGGGAAAAATTAAACTCTTAGGAAGGAAAACTTGAAGTGCCTTTTCAAGTGAAGAGCAAACGACATACTGTATAAACTGGAACCTGCGTGAAAATGACAGGACGATACAAAGAACAGCGTGTCGGCCAGTGCTACCGCCTCTCAGCTTCCTCATGGTGCATTCAGAGGAAACACCCCTACAGTGCGGCTGAACCCAGCAGTGAGATCTCATTTTAATTAATAAAAGGAAAATTTCCAGCTTCATGGGGTCTGATATCCATTCAACTCAAAACATGCATGTAAATCAAAATAGATGCCCAAGAACACATTCCTGTATTGTAAACTCCAATCTTACCATCAGTGAAACGCCACACGGCGGGAGACCTGGGGAGCAAAATCAGGTGCCGTCCAAGACCCCAGGTAGCTCGGCTTTCTTAACTGGACAGTCCTACTACAACCGACAGCCGGCTCTAGTTTATCAAACTTTATTATCTAAAGTCCTCCAGGAAACAGGGTTTGAGGGGTGGCTGCCAGGGGCCGGAGATATAACCAGACAGTCAGATGGTAAAAAGCCTTCCAATGTAAGATGAAAAGCTCTGAGGGCCTAAGGGGCAACCTGGTGACCACAGCTAATAAGGAACTACATAACCTGAAACATGTTTAGAAAGTAGACGTAATGCTGTCACCAATGGGAGGGGGCAAGGGAGCCAGGTGACAAGTGAGCTCAACTGACTGCGATCTTTCGGTGAGCGTGTGGTACCCCTTAATAACCTTAAGCTTTTTTTTTTTTTTTTTTTTTTTTTTTTTTTTTTAATGAGCCACACCTCAGTAATGCTGGGGGCAGTGTGCACCTCCAAAATGCCTCGAGTCTTTTTAGCTCCAGGTATTATGGTTGAATGCTGTGAAAACAGGCCCTTTATGGGGAAAAAAAATAAGGTTTCTGATTCTTGACTCAAGACTGTATTTATTTATACAACGCACACACGCACGCACGCGCATTCAACATTACTATTCACTTACAGTCATTATATATACAGATGTACTAACCCTCAAGTAAGAACTTTTCTGGAAATAAAGACAGTAGCACCAACTGTACACTGGTAGTTAGAACTGGTGTGCCTCACTAGGACTGCTAGCTAGACCTGGCATGCCTCACTGGAACTACTAGTTAGATATGGGGTGCCTCACCAGAACTGCTAGTTACACATGGTGTGCCTCACTAGAGCTGCTAGTTACACATGACATGCCTCACCAGGACTGCTAGTTACACATGGTGTGCCTTGAGTCACCAGAACTGATGTTGACTTCAGTTGTCCCTACAATAGTCAGGCGCTGAGGCATTTAAGAGGGACTAATGTCACAGACTACACTGATTCTCAAGAAAGTGGGTTGCAGGTGGCCGTTAATCCCAGAAGTTGGGAGGCAGAGGCAGGAGGATCTCTGTGAATTTAAGGCCAGCCTGGTCTACAGAGAGTTCCAGTATAGCCAGGCAGCCAGGGCTACAGAGAAACCCAGTCTCAAAAAAACAAAACAAACAAACAAAAAACAAAAAGACAAAGAAACAGGATGTGACTACACAGCAAGCTTGCCACACCCTCTCAGTTGCTCCCACACATCCTCCCTCCGCATTGCCTCCCCCTTCTCCACCAGGACACAACACAAGGCCTTCCCCGGAAGCCAACAGAAGTCTGCGCTGCGCCTCTGACGTCCCAGCCTTCAGAAACAGAAGCCAAAGTAAACCTCCTTCAGGTGTTTTTTGCTTTCATAAGAGAAAATGGACTAAGGCATAACCTCGTCTCACAGTATAACCACAAGAACACAAAATCAGGTATGTATTAATTCGGAACACCGTATGCCTCTGAACACTGGAACATAACTGACATGTCTTATGTATGTGCCCATGTCTGTACTTTCTAGGCTGAATAACTGAGTTTGAAAGTACATAAAACCATGTTTAAAAAGCATATTTTTGAAGAGAAGTAAAGCAGTTGGATAAATTATATTTCAACAAAGAGATAAAGAATTTCACTTGACAGAGATGCCTCTAGCCTCAGATTCTGAGTCACGTGTCATATATATGGGTAGCAGGTATAAAGGAATACGTTAAAGATAGAATTAAATGAAATTTAAAATTAAAAACTACTGGGGCTGGAGAGATGGCTCAGCGGTTAAGAGCACTGGCTGCTCTTCCAAAGGTCCTGAGTTCAATTCCCAGCAACCACATGGTGGCTCACAACCATCAGTAATGAGATCTGGTGCCCTCTTCTGGTCATACATGCTGTATACAAAATAAATAAAAATATCTTGAAAAAAAAAATATTAAAAACTACTGGGGCTGGAGAGATGGCTCAGCGGTTAAGAGCACTGGCTGCTCTTCCAGAGGTCCTGAGTTCAATTCCCAGCAACCACATGGTGGCTCACAACCATCAGTAATGAGATCTGGTGCCCTCTTCTGGCCTGCAGGGACACATGTAGGCAGAACACTGTATACATAATAAAATAAATAAATCTTAAAAAAAAATTAAAAACTACTGGGAGTCAACTAAGACTACAGAAAAACACAAACACACTATAAGCAAGTGTCATTATCACGTAAGCTAAACTCAAAAAAAAAAAAAAAAACTGTAATCTTAAGCTCTACCTGAAAACAACATTCAACCAGATAAGGGAAATATACTTGATGTTAATATACTTGATGTTAATCTGAAGTAAAGGTGAGTCCAGAGTGCCTCCTCTCACCGAGAACAAGAGAGCCCAGCTCACTGCTCCTGGTGACTCTGCAGGAGTGAGAAATTCGATGCGCTCGGCCTTACAGAGGCGGAGGTAAGCTGGACAAATCATGACACCTCTCTAGGAAGCTGGCACTCCCTGTCAGGGGGTGTCCCTGCACACCTCTCACCAGACCCCCAAGCCGTCAAGAGCCCCTCACCATCTCTCGTCAGGTTCATGCCGCCGAACACCAGAGGGCCAATGAACTGGGCCTTGATGTCCCCCTCCAGGTAGACGAACACCGTGGGCAGATTCCTATCGGGGTAATTGGGGATGCAGGTCGTTGAAATGGCTTTGACGAATTTCACATCGGGAAACTTCCTGGCCAGTCCACTCAAGTGCTGGTTTATCAAGGAACAGAGGGGAATCCTGGAACGCAAGAAGAGAAAACAGAGCGGCTGTGATCTATGAGCAGACAGGGCAGAGCCAACACAGAAACCCCAGAAGGGCTTCACGGGGTGTTTGGGACAGCAGGATGAACTCACATTTCTAAAATAATAATAATAATAATAATAATAATAATAATATCCATTCTAGTGTGTTCAGGGAAAGTGAGTAATTCCAAATCCAAATTCAATTCAATTTAACAATACGTCTGAGAACACAGCTTTGATAGTTTTGAAGACTGCTATGTCTTTCTGTGAGGGTCATTCAGAAAACACTGGAGAGAACACGTGATGTGTGTCAAACCGGCCAGAGAGCACTTCCTGCCTTGAAGTGATTTCCAATCGAGCACCCCGGGCACAGACAGGTGAAGGACGAGAGAACACAGGCGGCCACAGCACCTCTGGCAGTTCCCATCTCAAGGTCACCCTGGCCATCTGTAAGGCAGCGATTTCATAGAATTCTCAAATGCCAATTCCTCTCCAGGGAAGGGTAACCTGATCTGAGCTTTCATGGGTTTTGTTTTTAAAGATTTGGGTTTTGCCATGTAACCCACGCTGTCCTCAATTCTGCTATGTAGCCCAGGCTAGACTTGAACTCTGTCACAGTCCTCTGGCCTCAGCCTCTCATGCTGGGAGTGCTAGTGTGAACTACCGTACTTGGCAGAATTCTTTTTTTTTTAACAAAAGGAATTTAAGTCCTTGCTCTACGCTTTTAATAGACACACATTACTCACAAATATTAATTTAAAATTAATTTAAAAGGAACACACGTGCAGGTAAAACACACAAACAAAACATAAAAACCAAACCTCCCATAGAGGTTAAGCCCCATACGGACTGAACAGAAATTCAACCCAACGCTTCACAGACCCTGTGGAGATCAGCTCACCCTTGCTTGTACAGGTGTAAGATCACCCACAAGCCCTCGCCGGCTCTGGTGACTTCCTGAACGTAATCCTTTCCTGAGATCTCTAACACTTCTCCGAATTTGTTCTTCAGCTGAGTCGCCTTCCACTCAGCCAGCCTTTGCTGCCTGCACAACAGGGGGACCGCACTTAAGTACGCAGACGGACACTTGTACACAAGCAGGCACGCGCATCTTTCAGAGGACAATCCCTGTGTTCGGGCTGACGGACTGGCCTCATGATAAAGAACACACATCTCAGTGCCCCCCAAACCCCACGCCGCCCCTATGGATGGCACTAACCGGTAGGTACAGCTTGATGGCATGTTCATTCCCGATGTTCAAAGAACACACATCTCAGCACCTCCCAAACCCCACAGTCCCTGAAGGTGGCACTAACCGGTACATCTCGATGGCACGTTCGTCCTCTTCGTTGAACTCATCCTCATTCTCCTCCAGCTCCTCCAAAGTCATGTCTTCGTATGTTTTCACTGAATTTCGTTTCATTGACAGGAGCATAAAAATGAAAAGATAAGCACACACACACATCTTCATGTTTTCGCTGTTCTCCTACATATGTGCACATCACTCCTGAAGGCCCAGCCCACTGAGACAAAAACTAAGGTACTGTTTAAAAAGATGGTCCCAGGCTAGAGAGATGGCTCAGTGGTTAAGAGCATTGGCTGCTCTTCCAGAGGTCCTGAGTTCAACTCCCAGCAACCACATGGTGGCTCACAACCATCTATAGTGGGATCTGATGCCCTCTTCTGAAATAAAGGTGTACTCATATACATAAAATAAATAAACCTTTAAAAAATAAAAATAAAAATAAAAAAAAAAGACGGTCCCACCAGTACCCTTCTTACTCTATGTGAATACAAATGACAAGTTTCCCAGATTCATGAAACAGGAGTCACCTTTGCCTGATGCTGCCTGCTCTCGCCTCCAGGGACAGCGCTCACGGGCCGCATGTCCTAACACTTCTCATGTCACCTACACTGTACATGACATTGGCAAACTGTCCTGTGCTATGTGAGCTCGCTGTGAGGCTGGCTCTGGAAGTGGGGTTGTCTCCCAGCTTATCTCAGACCCAAGCACCTCGGCCTGGCTCTTTCAGCCTTCTTCACTCATGCCGGGGGCAGACCTCTCTACCCCTCAGACTCCTCAAGCCTGGCAGGCTTCCTTGCCTTTTCTCTCTCACACAACACTGGGATCCATCAGCAAATTCTGCCGGCCCTCCTTCACATTATGCCCAGCTCTAACCACTCACTGGTCCTCTCCTCCACCGCCGCACCGGTCCAAGCCAATGGTGTCTCTTGCCTGAATGACTGCATTAGCCTGCTCTCCCCGCTCCTTGACTTTGCACATCCAGGCACTGTCTATGCTCAGTAAGACGGTGTTTCAACCTCCAGTAACTTGCAAGCTGGGCTCTTTACTAGGCGATTCAGGGTCCAATGGTCCAGGGTCCGGGAGGCTTTTGTAAACTTTCTACTGCTTTCCCTGTCATGAAGACCTCCTCATGGATTCTCTAGGATCCCAAGCCAGCTTTCGACTTGAAGTAGCTTACCTTACCTCGCCTCCTTCAGGTCTACTCAAATGTCATCTCAGTGAGGTCCCCTCTGCCCAACTGAAAACCCTATCTATCCCACTGTCCGACCTTCCTAACCCAGCCCAGCCTTATTCCTTTTACTTCTGAAATATAAAGACATATGACTTTTGTCCAGCCTGTGTGCCACTAAATCTCCATTATTCAGAACAGCACTCAACACACAAAAATCATTCAATAAACAAGATTCATCTTACGACATCTTCCTCAAAACAAGCGTTCACATCTGAACAGGGCAAAAGTACCAGCTCTGTTGATCAACATCTCTCAGCTGGGAAGTATCCGAAACCTCCGAAGGCACCTGTCTACCATTCGGATGCCTTGGCCTCACACACACACACATTCTGATTCTGCAGGGATCAGACACCTCTGGCCCAACGCCGGGGGAAGCTGATGCAGGTGGGGAGACCTTTGAGAAATCCCCTCTGTCAGACACCAGGCATCATCTCAAACGTCTTCTGCTTCCTCAAGTTAAGTAAGCTACTCTATGTCAATATTCTTAACCAAGCCACGAAGATTAATAAAACACAGCCTCAAAAGAACACAAACACTAAAAAGCTGAACAAATCTCGATGGCATTGTCCAAAGCCACGTGCTCCTGTGAGAGACAAGGGCCGCGGGCCGCAGGGTGGCTCACTCTCTGCTCTGCGGGGTTACCTATCTAGCTATCACTGACAAGGTTGATGCCAGGGCTCCAGCGCTGCCTCCTGGCTGTTGCCCCGAAGGTCCCTTCTACTACAGCGGTTGGTGGCTTGTTCCCAAAGCCAGCCAGCCACAGAGCAAAGGGAGAAATGAGCAAACTCACCCACTGACTGCTGAAGGAGTCGCTGCTCCTCCTTCTCTGCTTCTTCCTTTTCCAGTTCCTTCAGGCTCTCCTTCGGGGGCAGGATGCCCTTCTTGCGTAAGATGTCATTCCACTCGGTGTCTGCATTGGGGTCCTGGGACAGCAAAGACGAGGACTCGGTGAGGGCAGGGTCCAGGAGAGAAGGCATAACGTGGGGCGAAGTGATACATGGGAAAGATGGAGAACAGGAGGGATTCAAGCTAAATTACTCCGTGGCGTACTCCTGAGAGCATCGAAAGATCTACCGCCCCTGCGGTAGTCTCCCCGAGGAGGTAAAACTCAGGAAATGATGCGCAGATTGGCATCAAGATTGAAACCCAGGCTTTGATCTACCTTCTGGTTAGTATGTTCATTCGTAATTTAAACAAATTTTATTTAAAACTGTAATGAATTTCTATGACATTATTCAAAGTGAATCTGACCAAAGGTAGGGACTGTGGGGATGCAGGGTGCCTCTGAAGTCTCCTAGTTCTGAGGCCCAGGGAGGTGATGACAGGAGATGCCCCCTGACTTTCTAAGATCTCACAGTGATGTGATTCCTGCAATAGATTTTAAGTGGCTACTTGGATTGGTTGATGTTTTTGTCCACTTTGACACAAACTAGTCATGTGAGAAGAGGGAACCCCAAATGTCACATCAGTCTGGCCTATAGACAAGCCAGGCGGCGGGGCCTGTTCTTGATTGATGGCAGATGTGGAAGGGCCCAGTTCACTGTGGGCGGTGCCATCCCCAGAGAAGGCAGTCCTGAAATACACGAGCAAGAGAACTGAGCAAGCCAAGGGGAACAAGCCAGTAAGCAACATTCCTCCAAAGGTCCCTGGCTCCTCAAACCTGCCTCAAGGTTTCTGTCCGGGGTCCTGTCATGACGTCTTTTAATGATGAACCTGAGAGTTGTTTTACCACAGCAATAGAAATCTAACAAAGCCACGACAGCAGGCAAATTACTGAACTGGGCGGGAACCAAGAAGAATGTGCTAGTGGCCATGATGGATAGAGGAGCCACTACAGCCAAGGTGAAGAGGTAGGCTGCAAACGAGCACATATGCAAACTACATGCTGTTATGGAAACAAGCTGTTGTAGATGTAATCAACCGTCTTATTAAATAAGAAACACAGAACCAATGTAAAAGAGAAAGCCAAGAGATCAGAGCTCAGAGCTAAAATCTCACCCTTCCTCCTGCGGTGGTCCTAGCTTCCCGAAAGAGAGCTATTTCCTGTGTGTCTGTCTTTTCATAGTATTTTGTTCTGCCTTCTCATTGGTTGTAAACCCAAACACGTGACTGCCTTGTCACTGTCTGTATGTACAGCCCCCCAGGTCTTAAAGGCGTATGTCTCCAATGCTGGCTGTATCCCTGAACACACAGAGATCTATGGGATTAAAGGCGTGTGCCACCACCGCCATGCTCTTTCTATAGCTCTAATAGCTCTGACCCCCGGACAACTTTATTAACATACAATCAAAATCACATTTCAGTACAATTAGAATACCACCACAAGCTGTGTCAAGTGCGATGATGACAAACAGTTGTTGGTCCACAGCAGTGGTTCTCAACCTGTGGATTGAGACATACATGCAGACACCCTGCATATCAGATACTTACACTGCAATGTGACAGTAGCAAAATTAGTTATGATGTAGCAACAAAATTATTTTATAGTTGGGGGCCACCACAACACGAGGAACTGTATTAAAGGGTCGCAGCATTTAGGAGGGTTGAGAAGCACTGGTCTGGAGTTAAAGGGGACCACATTTCACACAACGGGCAGAGATGAATAAGGAAGCAAAGTAGGACGCTGTCTCTGACTTGAGACGACAGAGCTAAAACTGAACTGCTCACTGTGCTGGCTAGTTTTATGTCCACTTGACTCCAGCTACAGTCATCTGAGAGGAGGGAACCTCAACTGAGAAGATGCCTCCAGAAGACTGGGCTGGAAGCAGACGAGCTTGAAGGGCATTTTCTTAATTAGTGATTGATGAGGGAGGGCCCAGCCCATTGTGGGTGGTACCATCCCTGGGCTGGTGGCCCTGGGTTCTATAAGAAAGAAGACTGA